TGTGCAGATCAGTAAGCAGTGACTTTTCATCACAATCTATTACCAACATGACCCATAAAATAACACACACAGGTTGTGAACTGAAAACTAGCACCACAGTTAGTTAACGAGTCCATCTTTTTCACTGACTGCTAACTTGTGTGAAGTGCACGGCTTCATAATGGCTGTTTGTAGTTCCTGTGTTTAAGAACCTCACTAATCACTGTACACTAGAGACCAAGTGAATAACAGTGGAATACAAGCACTATGCTTGAATCACAGAGCTACAACAGACAGCACCATGTCCCCAGCTGTGTGCGTATAGTACAGCTCCGGTGTCACAATGTTGGAACAACATCATATAATGGGTGCTCTTAAAACAGCAGCGTGTGGGTTCTGCCAAAGTGACACAGCACTGTGTATCAAGTTGGACCTGGTTCATCTTTTGCAATGTGACACCATATGGCAGGAATTGTACAGGCCAATCACATACATGGAAACACTGATTCCTGGTGGATCACTCTGTAACGGTAACATTGTAATTCAGCCGTTTACCCTGAGATCATCACGACCAAAGCTACACAGCTGCCACTGTGATACATTCCACATTCTGTGAGTGAGTACAAGCCACTGGGCTGTGTCAGGCATCTAATAAAATGTAAACAAATCAATCTGTTCCTCCAACTTAACTTCCTGGATTGTGTTTCATTGTCTGACCGGTGAATGGGAAAGCCCCACCAACACAGCCCGTTGCATTGTTGTAACACAGGGAACATGCACTGTCCAGTGACGAGCTTCGATACTCCATGTCATACACAAAGCTTTGTCATGTTCAGCCTTTTTTCTCAACTGCTAAAACCTGCTAATACCAGTAAAACAACCAGTTTATATTTGATGTTGCCAAAATAATGCCAATGTAAAATGAATCATTTCTACAGTTCCAGTAAATCATTGAGAAGCTATGCAGCAGTGTCATTACAGAGAGGAAATATAATTACAATCATGTCTCAGACAGAAAGTCCCCTGAGAAAACAGCTGAAAAACAAATGTAGACCAGAAAGAACAAATAGGGAAAAAGCCTCCAAGTTTTTTTTGTCCAAGTGTCTTGTAGAAATGCTCTTGGCACCAAGCCTGTTTGCAGCAGTACTTCTGAGGCTTACTGCAGTGGCCCAGAGGAAAGAGGACAAGATGTTTTGAGCTTTAAAAATTCTAAAGACAATAACATTCATTGCTTCTAAATACTCAAAACCACTGTCAGTTTAGTAACTTTATTATCTAGTCAGATCAGAACTCATGTTTTTTATGTCTCACTCCTCTGTGCATATTGCCTGTGCTCACTGCCATGTCACTTAGAAACATGAACGCCAACCATCAACACAGGATCGGATACGATAAAAAATAAATAAACTGAACAGACCTTGTAATGTGAATGTAGCAAAACAGAAGTAAACAACTGCTTTATGTTTCCATCATGTTAATGGTTCATCTTACACTTCATTCCTTGAATGACCTGCCAGGTGGAAGGAGGAATTCTGTGCTTGCTGCTTACAGCACATAGCTCCATGGCAAGTGTCTATACAGAAAAAAATGTAGAGTTTAGACCCAGAAGACCTACGCTGCTAGACGGTAGTATCATGAAGCCAACTAAACATCATGAAGTGAGAAACACTAGACACCACACACTCCTCTACATGCAAATTTCAGTTGACTTTGACTACCATGTTATGAGGCTTAATTTGATTCACCACAGCAAACAGACCACAAACTACAAGGATGCACTTCTTCCTCACACTGAGTCATTCCTCTCAACAGTGCCTCAGACAGCCCTAGTTTGGTAGAGGTTTTTCCACTGCAGCCGACCACTGACGTATTGAACACTGTATACAGCATAATGAGGGGAGGCCAGGTAGGGACGGCGTTCATGCCCTGACTTGACAGACAAGCGAGGGGGAAAAACAACAAGTGGCTGCAGCTTCAAAGCTCACCAGCATGAAAGCCTCGGGAAAATCACAGCAGGCTTACAGATTAAGACACATCCTACAGAAGACCTAAACAATCCTTTCATTGCTGAGGTGAAGGGAGCACTTTCATCTTTCATTTGGGGGTATCTAGGCAGGACTGTACTATGGGCTCCCGTAAAAGAATGTGGGCTAACCCCATGGACATGACTAATTCTAAGTATGTGGCTGTGGTACAGGCTGGCTGAGTTGCCCCTTTGTCCTCGTGCTTACAGGCTGAATGAAACTATTTATAAGTCCCTGCATTATGGACTGAAGTGTACAACAAGACTGCAATAGCCAGTTAATCACACATCTGGAAGATTAGACAGATCTGGAGCTTTGAGTTCTCTTGTTGTGGCTCAGAGAATGTGGCCACCCTCACCAAAAAGGAAACCATTTTGCTTGGTGACTGACAACCAGGTCAGATTCACAAGTGTCTGTCAAGTAACAAGTATTTCCTTCCTTTCATCTCAGAAGGAGAGTCAAACATGGAGCTTAACCTGTACAACAAAAGCTGCCCCAGCACAATGGTAGCTTTTGAGCACAGCGAAGGAAGCAGCTTAAAATGTGATGTAAAGATCCACAGTCACAAGCAAGCCTGTTGGCTAAGCCTGACCTTGAACAAAGATCATCCCAGGACAGTCAGTACGCATTTCCCCAAAACATGATATAAATGAAGGAATTGTTTGGGGAAGGAAACTCTTAATGTCTCTATTTCATTAGATGTCTCTAGGTCATGTCTCAGTGAGGGAGACGTTAAAGCAACAATATGGATTTCAGCAGTTTGTCTGCCCCTACAGTTGCTGAGTGTAACTGAGCTGTAACCAACTGTCGTAACTACTGGTTGGGATACATGTACATTTGTTTACAAGTTGAAGTCGTTATTGAACCGGGAACGACAACGTCTGAAGTCAAAAAATTGTAAAGCAATATTACAGGATTTTATACAGATATGACTTATTTATTGTTAAATCGAAGATGAACACTCAAAATTACAGTGTTTTTTTGTTTGTTTGTTTTACTGAAATACTGCTTGTATTTTCATAATAGCAATAGTTTACTATGTGTGGCTTAGTCCTGTTGCACAGCTTGTTCACAGCTTGTAGTAAGTTAGTAAGTCCAAACTTTATGTCCAAACTCCTGAGGACCGGAAGACACAGTACTCTCAATGTGCAACTGGAACACTAGTGTACTTGCTAATTCCACTGTGACTGAGAAACAGCTGCTTGCTAAGGAGAGTTAGCTTGGTCTAACAGCGGGTCCCCGGGGCTCCGAAGACAACAGAGCAAATTTCCGACAGTGGAAACACAGCTATAATATGAAGCTGGAACACCGGTGTCCTTGCCAACAGACTACTATGGTCTGAACAAAACGTAGCTGCCTGCTACAGAGTTAACTTGTTCTGATTAGGAGTAGCCTATTCACATCTCCAAATGGAAGAACAAATTCTAAACTGGCATTACTTGGATAGAGTGACCACATAGTCGCAATCTAAGTCGTCACTTTCTCACCTGAAAAAACATCAAAACTCATTAAAGGCATAGTGATTTCTTTCTGCGTGTAGTGATGTTCCCTCTGATACAGAGGCTCCGAAGCACGCTTCAAATTCGACAGGATATTTTTCTGAAGCACTGTGCCGGAGCTTGCTTCAAATTGCGAAAAACCACGTGACTGATGACGTTCGAACCACCTCCCTGCTTCATTCAGACTGAATCAGCTGACCGGTTTGGTTTGATAGGCGGCGTTTTGAAACTTTGGCGTGATTAGATGCATTTAAAATGGATGGAACAGCGCTCAGTCTCTTACCTCCTGTCAATACCTTTTGGATTGCCTCGCTATGGAGCCATTAATGAAATGATCACAAGTGTGGGAACATTGTCTCAAAAAAGAGAAAGACTAAAACCATCTACTGTGGAGAAACTATTATTTTTGAATAAGTCACACATGCACACCCAGTGTACACCAAACACAATCAAAAAGCATATATTATATCATATTATAATATCATTCATTACCTCTGCGGCCTCATTGAACCCTGTAAATATTTGCTCTGTCCAGTGTGTAGTTTAGGATGAATAATTATAAATCTATTCCATATTCTTAGGATTTCTTGGGAAAGAAGGATTACAGGTAGTCAACATTTCATTTAAGATACTTTATAAGGCAAGGAAGAAAAACAATGTAAAATAAAATGAAGCTAGATTTCAGCTTTATTTAAGTCATTTCCACAATACAACAAAACTCACAGTGCACATGCAAGGTGCATCAGCGTCACCTTTGCAAAGCTGTACAACAACCACTGTCCCAGCAGATGTTACCCACTTCGAGTAGTGAACCAGTTCTCAATACAATAGTCCAAAAGGGCTCACAGCTTGATGGAGCCTCGTTTGGCCGTCACTATGCATGTGTGTAAGAATCATAGAATACTCAGCTAGTGGAAGGGTCTGGTGACATAAAGCAAAACGCAGTTCTCGCGAGAGGTGTCAGGGATGCTCACCCAAACTTACATAGTGCACTAACTGGCGATCCGGGCACACATGGACTTTTGTAGAGATACCATTCACCTTATTAAACGTCACTCTACCATCAAAATGGTTTTAAAACCGTTATTTTAATGTGAAAAAAACTGCGCATTGCTCCTTTAACACTGTGATGCTGGGAGCCCTTCTGAAGAGCCTCCACATTGCTTGCAGCTGGGTTCAACAGCTGTGTGACCCTAAAAGCCCTGTCCATGAGCCTCTACAGCCAACTGTTCCACTCACTGGCAGGTGTCCTAACTCTGTCAAAACTTCCTGGGACCCTGTGAAAACCTCTGCAGCGCAGCTGGACCTATGACTTCCAAGCCTTTGTTTGAACTTCAACCAGCACTGGGATTAGCCCGATTTACGCAAATATCATTCATTGTAACTTTATCAGGCTCTTAAAGTGTGGAAACATGCAGAAGCTTTCGGTACATGCTGGAAGCACTCAGCCCCTTTCACGGGGTTGGTTCCCGTTACATTGGAGGAAAAGGCTACTTACAGAATGGTCGTCTGTGGCGACACCGCCGGTACTGTTTCCAGGTTTAGATGCATACATCTCACGGTGGTTCGGAAGCACAAACAGCGACTCGGACAACAAAGTGCAAGCTGTGGTCCGCTAGCAAGCAATAACAGAGCCACCGCGAGTAGACACGGAGAAAAGAGCTGGCCAGCCCGCAGCGCCATTGCTAGCAATGAGCCGAGCAGAGCACAGAGCGCCAGCCGCCCCTCATGCACACGCACACACGCGCACACACAAAAGGAGAAAGAAGTGGGGCAGTGTGTTACAATCTCAGACAGGGACGTCCAGCAGACAGCGGAGTGGAAGAGCTTTATGAGTAACATAGTTAACAAGTTAATATCATTCAGTGAGAGGCCGGTAAGAAACGGATTTATGGTTAACCAGACTTTTGGTAGCTTATTCGATTTGTGCCTGAAAGTCATTTGAAATAGCAAACGTCATGCCCCACCCTCCCCCAGTCGCATAATTTGCCAGTCTATAAACATAGTGCTCCATTTCCAATTTGTTGTAGTCAGTTTGTGGCGCTATAACACATTGGCCCCATTTGAAGTGGGTTAAAGTTATAGAGTAGCTCATTTTGGTCAGTTGGGTGTAGGTTACATTCATTGACTGTATGTGGTTACACTGACATCAGAACATGGCACCATTCCGTTAAAGCAGTGGTGACCTGGAGGGCCCCTGCCCGGCTTGATATCCCTGTCCTACCCGCTGCTGGTTACCTGGTTATCAGGTGTGTTCAGTCAATTAGAAGATGGAAGATACCATATTAGATAAGGGTGGAGTGAGGAAACACAAAGTGAACTGGTATCTTCCAGTGGAAAAACAAGCAGGACTGGGTTAAGTTACTCCTGCATTAAAGCGTCTCCATACAATATGCAAATGTGGAAAACACAGACCCTTCAGTAAAAGTAGTGAATACCAACACGTCCTTCATTCAAAGTTTTTTAGGCCAAAGTACATACAGTAAAAAGTAAAATGTGTGTAAAATATTGTAGTGTTGGGGTGCAGAGAGACACCTGGCAGGATCCCCCATAATGCCTACGCCTGGGTAGGCAGTATATAGTTCAGGGTTGGTGGGGATTATGTTTAGTTTCTGTTCTGTGTTCAGTGTGTATGTGTTTTTATAATAAAAGCAGATTCAAGGAGCATGAAAAAAGGCAACTTCTGTCTCTGGCTTCTTCTTCCATTCAGCCTTCATTACATCGATGTCAGAAGTGGGTTGGGGAATCACTGCCAGAATGGCCAGAATTCTGCCACAATGCTGTGGCGAGGGAACAAGTGAGCAGCTGTGCATCACGAAGAGGAGTGCTACCACTGCAGGAAGCTGGGACACATCACACACCATTGCCCAGCGCTGGTGCTGAGCGGCCAGCATCCCAGAACAAATCAACCTGTCCCGGTTGTCTGGGCCAGACACAGAGATTATAACTGGACTGTGAGCTGAATGGCACCAAATGCCATGCCTCAGCGGACATAGGGACCACTATCTCTTCTGGTGTGCATGGGGACATTGCCGAGGACAGAAGGGCCAAGACCCCAAAAGTGAAGGGCCATCAAACACCACATCACCGCAGTCACTGGCAAGAGTGTGAAGATGCAGAGAGAGAGAGAACGCTCAGAGTGATTGTTGCTGGCTGTATTAATATTCTGAGAAGGTTCACAACCTACTGTAGCCTGAATACAATAGGCTTACCTGTAGGTTACTGCTTATATGCTACAATGAAGTTAAAATAAACATGAGCAAAAGGGCCTGCCACTTGCATATTTAAATAAAATGCAGCTATTATTATTAATTGAACTGGTGCTTCTTCCTTTAGGGAGATATTAGAGAGTGTTTCTTTACATATGACCAAATGACCAAAGGAATATAAAGAAAGCTCATAGGTTGGAGGGCCCCAGGAGGCCCATGGTCGAGGCCTCCCACCAGTAATGTTCTTTTTATCACTACAGCACCAGTGGTGGAGCTGTGTTCATAAAATGATACAGCTAACATCAAGAATAAAACAGTAAGTTTTAGCTATTCTATAAATATTGGCATTTTGTCAACCAGAAAACATTTACTGCATCACAGCTATATGTAAGAAATGAGTTAAATTTCTCTGCCATTCTCTCAATGAACATATAAAGCCAGGACAACTCTTCTGTTCTGAGCGGGAGGCTAATTAGCATTTGATTTATCATAGGTGTGCATGATTAAGTCCAAGTGGTGTTAATAATAATTTGAGTTTGCTGACATCTGCTGTCCAATGCTGGTCAAACACACAAAATAGAAGCTAAACTCTCCAGGTCTGAGACAGATCATATCTATCTATCTATCTATCTGCAAAATGTCACTATTTTAAATGTGCCTTTTTTAGATTTGAAGTTTTCATATGGTTTTGACTATTAGTGAAATAGCCTTTAACTCCTATTAAGCATTAGTTTAACTGTATAACTAGTATAACTACCCTATTGAATAAAGTTCTGTGTAGCTCATACCACTGATGTCAGTCAGTGACTGATGGTCTCAGGCCTGTTTGCCATCATGGAGCTCCTTACTAAAACCCATTTTTTTAAACTTTAAAGTAAATTGACAGTTTGTTTCTGGTGATGAGTAGCATGCTCACCCTACACATAACCAGCTTCCTGACTATCTGTGATCTCACACTGGACCTCTGCTCAGTATCATTCCACATCCTGTTCCTGATTGCTGTATTGTGTGGGTGCGAGTGAGTTGTGTCTGTGGTTCCTGGCATGCTGCTGTTTTATTGTTAACATGTCCACCGCTGACAATGCTATCCCACTGTTATTGTTACGATTTCCACAGCCTGACAGACTGGAGCCACAGATATAGGGAAGCATTGTTTCAACATATTTCATGATAAATCAGCATGTTCTCTGTACTGGAGTATTTTATTTAAAGGGAACTGTAGAGGAAATGTTTGACTCCATCAATATACATTAGTGCATGTTCCTATCCTGGAGGCTATTATGGCCATATGTAAGTTGGCCTAACCTTAACCTAACATTTAGGCTACTGTAACACCATTTACCATGTGACAGGAAGCTGCCATGTGACCTGTCAGATTCTTTCAAAGCACTTTGGGGCTTCCCTTGTTCTCAGTGGCCAAGTCATTATCTTATTCAGTTTTTATTTTCACCATCTGTGGAAAGTGTTATATGTTATATATTAATTAACTGAAATCCCAAGTCAGACCTTCAAAAATGGTCACAAACTCTCAAAAGGTCACAGTCAAGGTCAAGGGTGCAATTATTGTTTCCCAAAAGAAAAGATGCTTTGGACTGTAGGAACTGCTGCAAAAAACCGACATGCCACAAAGACACTTTATGAATAAATAAAAATGTAATACTCATAAATATGTACACAGTTAAAAATGCTTTGCAATCATGTTTCAAGCCCCTTTCCAGACTGATAAATGATCCACCTCCAGAGCTGTTCGGCATCGAAAAGAAATCATGAATCATTGATGGGGTACAAATATTGTCTACTCCAGGCTGAGTTGTCAGATGCAGCTCCAACCGTTTGCTGTGAGGCGACAACGCTAACCACCGCCGCCGCTGTGCTGCCTGCAGGCATATGTGTTAGTAAAAACTTGACAAATCTATAATGTATCCACACAAACTCAACAATTTGGGATGTAAAAGTTCTATGTTACCTCCCTGTCTTATTAGTAATCCAAGTACAAGTACAAAGAGGCCCTTGTTGCTGGCATTTAACCCTGCACATACTGTTATCATGGTACTCTGTCGTGTCATATCCAGTACAGACGCACACTACCAGTTAAAAGTTTGGACACACTTTCACCATTGAATTCAGTGAGAAGATGTGTCCCAACCTTTGATTGGTAGTGTATTCAGAGGCATAATGGCTAAAGCTCATATACTGTATTGGCAACATCCATTGTTTGATTCCCTATTGGGGGCCTTCGTTGCATGTCATGCCCCTCTCTCGCCCAGTGTCTCCCTTTTCTCTGTACACGGTCGCTGACATATTTTAAATATGGCTATGAGATGAAATTAAAGATCCCAAGGGCGATAAATAACTTCAAATCAACTTACTGATGTGAAGAGCCCTAAACACCTGCCACACTGTTTTATTCCAAATCATACAGTCTAATCAGTCTGTGGAATCAGAGTCAGCAGGACACTTACAGTACAGACTACACTGTTAAAGGAGCACACGTTTCATACAATTAACTTACTGTTAAAGGAGCACACGTTTCATACACACAGTAAGAGTCAGTTTAAAGGTATCACATACCAGTCAGCCTTTGTAAACAGGACCTGCAGGAGCTTCCTCCAAATGACTCAGCCGATATCTCTTGCATAAACACTTTTGGGGCTTAGAGAACACAACTTTTTGACAGAAAGCTTGAGTCAGACATGAGGGACACGCACTTTGAAAGTGTTTATCACGCAGGGAGTACAAGGATCTGTGTAAACTGTGCCTATCATTTGTTCACTAGTTTATAGAGAAAGCAACATTAAGCTGCTGGATTACTGTTTCCAGATGAGGCCTTTGCTAGAATGGGAGAGAGGCAAATATTAATATGCAACAGAGCTCATAGCTTTCTTTATGCGCTCCAAGTGGATTATCTTTACTTAATGACAAATTGAATCAGCTGCATCTGTACCTTAATTACTGAGCAGATCACACAAAGGTATTTCAATAAAGAAAGGTGTGTAACATAAAACTGTATTTTGCTTTAATTGTTTTCCACTGCTCCAGAAGTGATTTGCAGCAGTAAAAGGTTGATTTGAGAAGAGCTTGTATATCAGTGGTCCTGTTTTTAACTTAATTTAGGAAAACAAGCCTGCGTTCTATCAACACATCACTGTAATGATCCACATTTGAGGTGGCCCTGTGGTGCATTGGTGTAATGTCTAGGTTGGGTTTGCTGACATCTGCTGGTGGAGCTCTCAATTTAACAGTCAGCATGCATATGAAGATGGGTTAAGGGGTATCAGTATTTAATAAGCACGCAAAAGAAATAATTTTGCAGGCCTCTGGCAACACATTTTTTCTTTATTCAGAGTAAGATGTGTCAACATCCAGCATGACAAAAATTGTACAAAGTTCACAATTTATAAATGAAATATCACAGCAACTTGTGATCTCACACATTTATAGCAAAATTAAAATGTCAACAAATCCATGCTGTGTAGTACAAAAATAAATCAAACTTCAGTTCCACAGAGAGCACAATAATTTTTACAAAATCCTGTCTTTGTTAATGGTCACTGAAATCAACCTCAAAATGAAGTGGCTCAAACAAAATAATAAACTCTGATGAATTCACAATAATTTATATGAAAAGTCAGCATTCTAAATATGTGACAACCTTTTTGTGTTCCCTATAGATAGTCACAGATAAATCTTTTCAGATTTGCTATTTACGTACCAACATCATATGAGCAGCCGGTTTGTGCTTTAAAATCCCTTTTCCATTTTTACTGATAATGAGAATTAATTCAAAAACTGGTACTAGCTATTACTCTACTGAAGCATTACTATATTGGCGAAAAGCTGCAGACACGATGCTGTGGAAGAAGGCATATGCAGTCATGGATGATGGATAGCAGAGTCCTGAAGGAGGACAGTAAAGTACAATAGATGAGATTCAGTCAGGTGAGCGACAAGCACCTTTTGCATTAGCTCTCAAAAAGGCAAAATCTGAACATGATCGCTAACAACTAGAACAACAGAATGAAGGGGTACATACAGTCAGGCATACGGGCGTGATGCTGGATTGTATCACCCCCCTGAAGGTTTCAGGAGGCCTTCATTTTCTGCTTTTTTTTAAAACCTTGAATTGATTGACTATTTAATCCTTTGTACAGTGATTAGATATAAAGTGCTGCTGGGGGATAACTTCATCTTCCTAAAACAGAGCAAAAATGAAAGAGCATTGTTAATGTTTTTACACTCAATAATAGCCTAGAGTATAACTGCTATGGTAATAATCATCTTCTTCTCTGATTTCAAGTCCCTGTTCTTCCTCTCTCAGTGGTGCTAAATCCACACCTGCAGTGGCTCCGAGCAGTTGGCTACTCCAATCGTGTGCCAAAGAAGTCACCTGGAAAATTGCACGTCGCCGTACGTAAGGATAATATCTTCAAGGACAAGTGCAAATAGTCTACTGGCACATAAGTGGGGACAGTGACCCTGTAAGTCCCGCTGTCATACATAAATACTCTTTACAAAACCCTCAGAAACCCTCCTTTTAGGCTCTTGGGTACTGCTTCTAGCTTCTGTAAGAACATCAAAACATGGAAACGAAGGTGTCCCTGTGCAAAATTGTACAGAAAAAAAAAAAACTCATATACTTTCGCTTCTAAAACTCAATGTCCTGGTTCCCCCCTCTTTTTTAAAAAGACTTTTTGTATTAAAAGATTTGTATAAAAATCAATACTTTACATAGGCTATATTAAAAAGATTCATGTTATCCCACTATGCTTATAAACAAGAAATTGCATATACCCAACCTTTTTTCCCTTTGCAGATTGCATCCCGTACCTGATAAACAAATGATTTAATTATTATATTGCTGAGACATTATTTGATCCTAGCAACACAAGTCTCAAAATTGATACTAGAACATTACGTATCTCTATAGGTCATTGTCTTTACACATCATTTCTATTTGAGATTAGTTAAGGATAAGCATGTGAACATGCATGCACCGCACAGATGTGTTCCTCTAGGAATTAATTGGCCCTCCTAGATAATGGGATATCCACCATCAGGTTTCCGTGTAATGATGTTTACAATAGGACTGTTCATACATACATTCATACATACACCAGGTCAGTTCCCTCTCTGGGTTCATTTACAGCACCAATTAAAGATGCCCCCACCTACAGCTACAGATCTTTTTTTTTTTCATCAAAACAAAACACAAACATTTCTCAAGCACTGTCTGAAAATAAAGCAATTTGCAAACCAGTTCTTGCTCTTGAACAATCTACACGCAAGACGAAGATGATGATGAAGAAGAAGAAATTTAAAAAAAACATCTAAAATCATCAAGTCCAAAATCATCCGCGAGGAGAAAAACAAGTAGCTTCCTTCTTGTTTGTAGTTTTTTCATTTTTATTTCACTGTCCAGTTTTTTCATCTAAAATGTTTTATTGTCAAGCAATAAAAAGAACTTGCGTTCCGTTATTGTTAGCTTACTGTTCAGAAATATACACTACAAATGTGCATACATGAGCAGCTAGAAACATTACATGACACTATGTCAGCTCATATGAAAACGTACAAAATGTGAATGTCCTCAAAAACTATTTTGTGGTTTACTCTTTCATGTTCTTCCTCAAAGCAAAAGGAAAAGAAAAAAATGATCTTGAGATCTTTCTAAGCGTAATACCTCTTTTTTGGAGAGAACAAAATTGAGAATAGGTAACACTATATAAGTTACTGCACTGAACCGAGGAGATCAAACCACCACTGCCTGTTTGTGTGTGGATGTGATACACCATCCACACACCTGCTGGGGGAACAAAAATCTCCCTTTGCTGAATGGTTACACTTGGATCCCTTGAACAGCTTGCTTGATATTTTCCAACAGAGCTTTGTTTTCTGGGCTCTGGTACTGGTCTTGGTTTGCATACATATCCGTCAGAGTGGTCACGTAGGCGTCAAAGTTCTGCTCACTTATTGGCTCCTGCAGGACCAAAGACACAACATGGAGGCTCTTAGAGCTTTTTACAATGTCATATAAACTTTATCAAATATTTTCATCACATATCTAAAGTCTCAAGAAGAAATATGTCCAAATATATCTCATTTAATGAACTCTTTGCTGATTTCACAATTATAATATGCCAGTATACATGTTATTCTATACTTTTCACTGGAATTTTCATCTTTCCAGAGTCTATGTGATACTGAAGCTTCCATGGATGTGAGGAGGAGAAGAAGAAGGAAGAGGAAGTGAAGAAGAAGGAAAAGAAGGAGGAGCAGGTGGAGGGGGAGCCAAAGAAGATTTACTCAAACATAACACCCATCCAATTAAGACAAAAATAATTCAGAGGTTGTGTCTGCGTTGTGTGGCCCCGTGCACATGCACCTTATTGTCTGTCCTGCTGGCTCTGCCCACATGCTCTCACTGAGCCCATAGACTTCATAGGATGGGGACAGCATCACACACTATAAAATTGCTTCTCTAGGCTTTTTTTTTTTACTAAGTTTAGTGAGTATCATCTGAACTTCTCTGTCTTGGATCACATTCACTATTTGAATTTTAAAAAAGGAACAGTAAAAAAAGACCTTTCTTTGCGTTCATAATAATTGAAGCGGTCATGAAATACAGAGCATAAATGAAGGAAGTGAAATGATACAGGTCTGTGACTTACTTGCTGGTGCATCTGTAAACAGCTGTTATTCCTTAGAGGAGGCTCCTTGTGTGTCAGTGGTTTCTGTGGACGGAAAGGTACACATCTTGATTAGCTTGCTTTGAGAAACAAAACTGTTATTCTTACATTTATACACTGGGTGGCAGTAGCTGATATGCTGTCACATTAGGAAGACCTTAAATTAACTGTAAAAGTAGAAGCTGGTCAGAGGTGAAGATGTACAAGACATTAACACAGAGCCAGTCAGACCACAGTGTCAGAATGACCCACTGGTGTTAGAAAGCGGCATCCTCTGTAAAATTTTGTTGTTTTATGATATGATTATAAAAATGGCTTGCTTGCAATTTATTCCTTTTGTCAGTTATTGGTTACTGATCCACTATGCAAGACGAAATCATGAGAGAAAGGCATTGTAGGATATAACAGGACAAAACTGGGTACTATGCAACTCTTACTGTTGCAACAGAACTATAATACTTGAGCTGGGGGTGGGGGTGGTGGGGGGGGAATGATAGTAAAGAGAATAAAGTGTATTTTATCTGTGATTATTCTACAAAAAAACAATTTTCCTTCTTCGGTCAGGACTAAAATGACAATGACAGCACCGTCTGTTATGAAAAATCTGCAATGTTACAATACACTACAATAAAGCCTGTGAAAGCACAGACAAAACCTCAGTATATACTCTATACACTGTTCAACCTGCACAGCTGCAAGTATAGTAGCAGTAATTTCAATTTCAATTGGAGTTGCTACCACTGTGAAAAACTACAAGTCATCTTAAAACTGCCCCTCGCTGTTTGGAAAGACAAGCAATGCTTCACATTTTAGGCTAAACATGCACAATAGGCTGTGGTTAAATACACAAATAAAAGAACAAGCTGCTATAACACTGCGGTCTGCTAAATTCTGCAACTTGCTTGCTTGCCGTTCCTGGTGGCCCTTACCATATTAGGGAGCTGGACATTAGCTAAACTGTTTATCAGTGACTGGCTGAGGTTGGCCAGCTCATGCAGGAGAGATTCATTTTGCTGTTCAATCACCTTGTTTTCCTCCTCTATTGACTTCAGGTTGGACTCCATTGTTGTAATCTGAGGAGAGGAAAGGTGGAAACAGTACAGCTTTGTAATCACAGGCAGGCGCACACCATGGCTGACTCATATACAGACACAGGCCAGTGGATGCAACGGGAAAAGACTTACCTGTGTTCGAAGTTTGATCATGTCTGCTTCCACTTGTGAATTCGATTCACTTAAATCTTTGATTTCTTCATCCAGCTGTTTGATCTCCTCTTCATGCTCTAGCCCTAGAGAGGAGCCGCAGCATTAACACTGACACTTTACTGCAAGGCCTCCGTCATAAATTTGATTCACAGCCATTACAAATGATACAGTCTGACTTTGTAGCTACTGCCAGTAAAAATTCTGCTGGACGTTGTGTATGACTGTTTTCACCTCTACAGTTGAACTAGGTTCTTTTAGCTGATTAAGACTCAACAACCTCACAGACAAATTACATTAGGATCTTGTCACATCCCTTTATGAAGCGTTTAAATTCACTGCAGTCCAGGGAAACAGACGGGAACCCACTCACAAGCGAGCTCAGATATTCCCTGTCTGATTACTGCCATGTACGCCCTGCTCGGTTTTTCCAGATTGGAACCACTCTTTTCATTATTTACCCCCTACTCCTGGATGGCAGTTTATTTCCAATTTAAGCCTCCACTCAGATGCTGCTCACCACACACACACACACGCACCCACATACACACACACACACACACACACACACACACACCCTTCTGATTGGTTTATTATCTGAAATTGGAACTCTGTTCAAGAAATTATTCCACATGCATGCCCGTGATTGGCTGTATTGTGTTGGTGAGTGGTTGTTGTAGTTACCGTTGCTGGTACGTTGCTGCTTTATCGTTAGCATTTCCACTCCGGAGAGCCGGGCTTTTCTCATGGCGGAGGTGGCACGTGGACAACCCGACAAACTGGAGGCAGCAACAAGAGGGAGGCATTATTTCACACACACACAGTGAGCTAATGTGGTTTATAGACTGATGAGGGAGATGTCAGTCCCTGATGAGGGAGATGTCAGTCAAAAGGGTACTCAATATATTTAGTACTGCATTTAATTAAGTTTGGGAACTTGCAAGATATTAAAAAGAATGGCCAAATGTGGTCGAACTCAAAAACACTGTATCCTACATGTCCCGTAATACAAGCAATACAGCTGGGGCAGCTGTGGCTCAGGAAGTAGAGTGGGCCGTCCCTGATTCCCAAGTTCCTCCCGGTTCACTCACCAGCGTGTGAGTGTGTGAACGAGTGGGTGATTGAGCAAAATACATGAGGGTACTACTATACATACTGTGTTACACAAGTATAAGTCCATTTAACTAATAGCATTATTTGTTAAACCTTCCCAAACTGGCAAGCCTCCCTCCCTGTTTGTTAAATTTCTGTAGTCTCCAAGCCCAAGATACCACACATCAGGAATTCTTTTCTCAGAATTCAAAGTTGACACTAGAGCCACAGAAGACAAAACACAACTGCTTTCATAGGCATACTCTTTATTACAGAAAGCTTAGGGCTATAGTAGCAACCCTTTCCCATACCGAAATCTGTATATTTCTTATTCTTACAACCTCCAGGCATGTTTTCACACATATATATATAGATTGCACTGAATAACAGTTTGGCTCTTTGCATCTACTCCTTCTCCCTAATTGGCAAATCCAGAATCAGTAGTTCACTTTAAGAGTTTACCTGTTGGACACAGGAAGTCTCCTACTTCATGGAGAAGTCCATTCTCAGTCAGTGTGCACAGGTTTCAAGTTTCCATATCACTTGTATAAGCTGCATATTGACTTTCAAACATCACTAATTTTAAAGGCCCCAAAAGAAAGCTTCTATAAGTGACAGGGTCTTAATGGGTATGAACACAGACTTTTCTACCAAACTTAGAGGTGTACTGATCACTTCACATGTGATATTTCTCTTTGTGTTGCTTTTCAGTTTTATGTTTGAGTTCAGATCTGATGAGTTGGGTAGTTTCTTCTGTTTCCAGAAAACTGACAATTAAATGTGATAAACCACACCCACACAGTCCTGATGAAGCACATTAGCTCCGATTTAAGTTGAATGTCAGTTAAACTGAGATTTACGGGGAAGCTAGAGAAAGTTCCCTTTTGCACCAGGTGAATAATAATAATCATTCTGCACGGTGTAGCTCAAACAATAAGCAACACACATTTCTGAGTGGAAGGGAACTTTTAAATTATTGTAAATATTTAGTACTGCAGACCCACCTCCGATGTGTCAGGAAGCTGCCGCTGACGTGACCAGAGCCATCACAGCCTGGCGTGGGGCAGGACATGCCTTCCGTCTTGCCGGACTTCCATGTGAACTGAATGCCGTTTAGATAGCCATCCTTTTGTCTCTTGGCTGCTATTGGACATCCTGATGCACTTCTGTGGGAGGCATACTTCCCTGTCACATGTCCCTGACCATCACAACCTGGGACTGGACACCTGGGTGGGGGTCAGAGGAAAATGTTGAAAAAATGACTCACTTAGCAGTTTTGATTCATTTTCCAGTGTTTGTCTCACATATTTACTCATTAAAATACAACCTTCATTTGTTCACATAATCAAAGTTAATGCCATCATCTTTTCATCATATTGGAGACATTTCATTTCTTTTAAAGAGTCACCTGCTGAGTCTGAGCTACTGGCTCTGGTATGCACTACTGTCTGTTTGCTTCCTGGTTACAAAACACCACATACTACAGCAGCAAATTACATTTTTCTCTTTTGCTTTATCTCTTGTGCTTTGATATAAACAAAGATATGATCATCTTATTTTAAAGCTGTCCCTGTGGTATCCTTATCACACTTTTGGAATGCTGACAGTGCATCAGCACCAGGGCTAATCAGATTCAATGAGACAGTAAATTATTCCAAATGTCACAGTATTTAAAATGGATTATGGATAAAACTAACATCGGTCTGGTTTGCAACTACCAGTTACTTTCAGCTTTGTGGCTTTTTGATGCAAAAAAGTTACGCAGCTATTGTGTACACTGCTGTCTTATAGAATGTCTTCTTCTGTGGTTTTTGAAATCTTTTGCCTGTTAAATATAGATGAAGGGCTTCTATTATCTATACTCTTATCCTGAGGAGGGGGATGGAGCCAATCCAGCCAACACTGGGCAAGAGGCAGGGCACAACCTGGACGGGCTGCCAGTCTAGGTTGACACACTGAGACAGACAACCACTCACATTCACACCTACACTGTAAAAATGAAAAAGTTAGGAAAATGTAAAAAAAAAAAAAAAAGTAATACAACATCTTCTCACATTTTCTCAGCTATAGGCTTTTAAGTTGTACCAATTTATCTTAACAGGTTAAACTTTAAATTAGCAATCAGGTAAATTCAAAAACACAAGTATATTCTACCTAAATTGTTTAATTTGTCAAATTTGAAACTGTGACTTTTACTGGTGGCATTTTGCATGAAAATCAATACGACAACAGCATGCAAAGTTGTTCAGCCACAGTAAGTGTAAGGGGGCTGCGACTGAACCTTCATCATGGTTTGCATCATTTTCAGTTTTATAAAAAGAAACAATCAAGACTTTTTAATACTGTTACAACCACAGAGAACGTTTCCAACGTGAACAGGCTCTTTCTTCAGTTTCTGAAGAATTTCAACTTTCCAACGATGCATGCTGGGATGTCTGCTAGTTTTCTTTCTTGATGAATTGCATGAAATGTCAGCAGTTTATTCATTCAAATGATCATTTTAAGTCAAAAGACTACAGTGTACACTACAGCAAGTACTTCTAATCCTTTATTAAGTGTAGTTTAACATGAACTGTGCATGCACAAAAAACTCTCATGCTCCTTAACAAATAAAAAAAATTATGATCATGTTTTCTCAAATTGGATTTTTAAACTGACTGAGGTATTATTTACAATTGCATAGGAGTGTAAATATATTATTTTGAGTTAGATTAACATACTTTCTGGACTATAAGCCGCTACTTTCGTCACTTCATGCACACACCCTCGTCATGGACAACACACGACGAAATGCATATGATGCAGATTTCAAGTTACAGGTGATTGCTCTGGCTGTCAAAATATCTGACGTTACAACGTGGACACCTGTGGCTATGTACAAAATGTTTTTTTGTCTTACATTTAGTGGGTACGGCTTATAGTCCGGAAATGTTTCCCCAAATTATTGTTCAGTTAACTTTGATGAAAGAAAATAAAAAAATTGCAAGTTGGGATTTTTACAGTGTACAGGAAATTTAGAGTCATCAATCAACCTAAACTTCATGTCCTTATACTGTGGAAGGAAGCTGGAGTATGCAGAGAAAACCCACAGAGACACAGGGTCACCATGCAAATTCCACACAGAAAGGTCCTACTTGGCCGTGAGGTTCAAGCCAGGGACCTTCTTACCGTGAGGAGACAGTGCTAACCACTGCACTGCTGCAGTGCCCCTATGAGAGGTTTCTATACATTTTAAAATACTCATGTACTCATGTATGGTTATTCTACAATATCTTTTTAATTACCTATTAACACAGAGTCAAAAATCATTTAATCTACACAAAATACAAAGTAGAGAGCCAGCTGCAGAAAATAGCATAACTTACAACTGCACAGCTACTTTAAATAAGATGGGATAGTGTCGATATTATGAGAAAGTTGAGAGATCATTCATAACTGCCAAAACACTGTTAGGCCCTACTTAGCACTCTCAGTGTCTTTTCTGGTACTAACAAAAGCAAAATGTTTGTAAAATTCTACAGTAGCCTTAGTTTGATGCCTGGAACACTTTCTATAAACCAGTGAATTAGTTTGGGTGATAACAATGTGAAACAAAACCTACCCCAGAAGTGTTTTTACATTCTTGCTAGCCTCTCACATGACTCTACCTTTCCCTTTCCTCTGAGCAGAACTTTAGAAGCCAGTTCAAGCCATAAATGTTTCAGCTGCCTGAACCAGATATCTGCTCACAGGACCACAGCAGTGACCTGGGAGTCAAACTGACAAATCCAGAGCTTTGTGATGAGAGATACATGTGCTCTGTAACAGTTCAGAGAGATGCCGACTGACTGCTTTCAAAGGATGTATAATGTCCTGCAGGGAGAGCCTGTTATGTTTCATGCCATAGTGGCAGCAGAACAGGTTTAGAGGTTCTTCCGTTAAAAGCAGTTTGTTTCTCTCCACTGTCACCAAGTGCATGCTGTTGGGTTTTGTCTCTGATACTGTAACGTAAAGTGCTCTGAGATGAATTATGTTGTGATTTAGTGCTATAGTATGGAAGCCCTGAGAGGCAAGTGGAAAAATAAATTCTGGTGATCCATTTTCTAGGTCTGGTCTATTTATTTCTCTCCTGTGTTTATGCCCTAAGAACAGAATAAACTTTTTTTTTAACTTGCTAATCTTTCCAAGTAACTTTTTTCTTTTTTTTTTTGTGAAACAGGTGAAAGAAAAAAAAAATTACCATGTATGAAACAGGTGAAAAATGTTTATTTTTTTAAATTTGTGAAACTGGTGAAATTTTGTGTGTGCATGTGTGTAAGGCTCATGTTTTAATGTTTATTTTCGTAATATTTATCTCAGCCACACGCATGCCCCTACACCACTACACCAGGTTCTCAATAGGAAGAATAAATAAAAGCTATAATGTTTTCTTCCAGGTGAGTTTTAATTTCTCCATGCATTGTAAACACAAAGTACATATATTGTGTGTTAGTATTTATGTATTATTATTATTTCTTTTAACTAGAAATGTATTTTAATTGATGCTGTCAGAAGCGTTAGCCCACTAGCTAGAGAGTTTTGTTCATTGCTAACCAACAGCTACAACCTAGATTAAGTCTGCTACATAGCTAACGTTAGCTTACTATATTGTTACTCATGGAAACGGGGACACTTCACCCCTTATGTGTGGGCTGTTTCAACAGTAAAGTGAGATATATGAGTGGGACATTTGGACTCTTACAAAGCGAATAGGATCAATTTGTAGATTTAATGACAGGTATATACACAACAGAATAAGCACCTCATGTACACAGTGCAATTATAGCATGATGCTTGGTTAAATGCTTTCACACATAATCTGTTTAGTTCAGTTAATTCAGTTAGTGTGGTTCATGTTGGCTGGCGTGAAAGCTGTCAGTCGAATATATGTACCTTTTGTTTACAATGCATGGAGAAGTTACAACTCACCTGGAACAAAGCATGAAGGACTTTAGTCCTCTTTAGACAACACTGCAGCCAAACTCTTCTCTCTATTTAGAACATGGTGTAGTGGTGCACTATTGTGGCTGAAATGAGTATTACAAAAACAAACACAAAAATGAGCCTCACCATGAATGAATAAATAGATGGATAGATAGATAGATAGATAGATAGATAAAGAAATAAATAAATAACCAACCTGTTTCACAAATGAAAATCTTTTCATTTATTTCACAAGTGAAAATAATTTTTCTTTAATCTGTTTTATGGAAGAAAAAAGTTAATTAGCAAAGTTATCCTGGCCAAATTGTTTTCACCTGTTTCAAAATAAAGAAAACTAAAATAAATATTTAACTGCTGGCATTCCATAATATACCATAGCTATCCCATAGCTTCTGACTTAAAGAAAACTGCAAAACATTCCCTCGAATATGTTAAAGTCATAAATAATATAAATTACTGGATCAATCAATTAGTTCAACAAATGAAACCATTTTGAGTTTTGTTTACATCAATCTTTTAAGCAAAAATGACAAGCTAAAATAAGATAATGAGGAAGAGGGAGAAGGATGATGTCATCATCCCTATTCCAAGGAAGAAAAATGGAAATATCAAGAGGTGAACTTCATTTACCACATTTACATTCAATACAAAAAAAGTGAAAAAGTGTTAAATCAAATTTGGCTTGTGTTAACGTGCTACTGTCTTGACTCCCTAGATGTTTTAAGTTAGAACAACCATGTCTGGCTCTGAAGTAGAGATTTTATTCATCTCCTGAAGTTGCTGAAAAAAGCATAGAAGACATCTGGACATAGTTTTAGGTAGAAGACGTTTCACCTCTTATCCAAGAGGCTTCGTCAGTTCTACCAGAAGGTATTTAAAGGACATTCTTTTGAGGACAGTGAAGTCCAGATCCTCTCCAGAGAACACCGTTAGTTTGAGAGAGGAGTCAAGGAAGCTATGTTTGTCCAAATAGAACACCCCTCTCTAAATAGGGGGGTCATCGAACCTGTCATCCATCTACAACCCTATTTTGAAATCTCTACCCAAACACTGCCCAGGGGGATAAATACCTCCTGCTCACCACCTGTTGGACAGAACTGATGAAGCCTCTTGGATGAGAACTGAAACGCCTTCTACCTAAAACTACGTCCAGATGATTTTGTCTACATTGTTTCAGCTTACTGTGACCTGGATGACTAAGAATTTGCATGGTCATCTCCTGAAGTTCCTTGCTATTTTCAAGCTCAAATTGCCAATTTAAATATTTTATATTGACACTTTAATGTGAAAGAGCATACTAGTAATGCAGGTATGGATACCTATGGCTAACTGTCCTCAGAGTCCAACAGAATGACAAGATTGAGAGTGGTCGAAGTGTGTTGTTTGTGCTCTGCGCCATCAGAGAAATCAATGCAGCTGCAGGGCTGTGGCCCGAGAAGCCCAATGTGGAATTTAGGTAGAGTCAATCAATCTCTCTCTGCTTCTATCGCTCCCTCTCTGCTTGCTTTTCTTTCCCTCCATGTGTGTCTTCAGGAGTTCACCAGAGACTGTAGAACCTCCCACCTCTACACTGCTACGAGGTTGCACTTCTAAAGTCTTGAACTGCCTCCTGAGTTGGGTTGAAACTCTACACCCATGGCACATTTGTTTTGTGAGAGCTAATACTGATATATTCCTGCTTGTATCAGTGGATGTCAAAGAGCAATGCACTGATTTCTAATCAAATCCAAATCTAATCATATTCTCATTCGCACAGTTTCCCTGAATCATTTTAAAACAATAAATTAATGTTGTGATATGTTTCATATTTCACATGGTACATGTAATGTGAGCAGAGAACAGTGAGCAGTGTTGGTAGGAGGAGGAGTCTCACTGTCAGGGTTTTAAAAGGAAATAGAAGACTGATGATCAGTGTCTGTACTGTACCTGATAGGCTCCTGGTCTTCTTTGTTCTCTTTACTGTGGATGATCTTTATCCCACTTCTCCTGGCCCGCGGACACCCTGAGAGACTGCAGATAAATGGCAAAGTTGAACCATACAGTATGTGTGTATGTGTGTGTGAGAGAGAGAGAGAGAGACAGAGAGAGAGAAAAGAAGAGGGAAAGATTTCTAGGATATACAGTATGTGAGACAGAAAAGAGAGACAAATGGGAGGAATTGGTGTGTACCTTCTGTGTGAGGCGTAGTTGCCAGTGATATGTCCTGAACCATCGCACCCTGGTGTTGGGCACCTGGGGCACAAAGCACAAAAAGGACTTAGGGCCTACAGCAAAAGTGCAGTGCTTTAAAGAGAACCAATGAGCAAAGGTGGTAAGATTTTTGTAAAAAAAATGCATTTTAGTAATTAACTTATATCTTTAGTTTGCATAGCTATAACACATGGCTGCAGCATTATCCATGATAAATAAGGAATAATAAAGACAAATTATTTAGCTTAATTTTTGTGACCTCCCTTGTCAAACAAATAAAAAAAATAAAATATATATATAAACACACACATTTATTTATTTGAATCACAAGATCTGAGAGCTCCTGTAATTAATAAATAAGAATATATATATTTTGTTAATGCCATAAAACCTCATAAAAATATCAAGGCCAACATTTGAACTATGTTTCATTACTTTCTGACTTCAGTCCCCTGTCTGTGGTTCTCAGCACCATGCCTATTGTTTTCTACTGAAGACTTCAGTCTGCAAAATAGGTCATAAATATATAGTTGTATTTAAAAAAAAAGAAAAAAAGATAGTTTTGCCAAACATTGCTCAAACAAAACGAAATAGTACTATAGCACAAATGTTTGTTGGTGACTATTTTCAGTAAGGGACTGATCTACATTTTGTGCACTTGTCAGTTTTTGAGGCCGCAAAACTTGTATATAGAACTGAGCCAGACTGAATAACAGTGTGTGTGTGTGTGTGTGTGTGTGTGTTCATGACAGACCATGTCACCCTGTAAAACAGTGTGGCTCACTGGTGTGTTTTTAATAGTTTTTGGACAACAATGGAGCACTGAGAAGAAAATATAACCGGATTTTCATACGTTCATTCATACTAGTAGGATACATTTTTTGTTGGCTTTTTGACAAGAAGAAAAAGTATCACCAGTCATATGCTTTTAATAATTCTCCTTAAAAGGCAATGTAATACAGCTTCATGTTTTAGGAACCTTAAATATGGACTCATGGTTATGACCACTCTCTTCACCTGTATGAACTAACGCTGCTAAGGCTGACCTTACTCTAGGCAGAATGAGCAAGACATATACAGTAGATCATACATATGTCAGTGGCTTATCTCCCGTCTTACTTGAGCTCTTGCGCGTTGTTGGCCAGCATACTTCGAATGCTTTTATCAGCTAAAGGGCAACCTGAGAGACTGAAAAATACACCAGTGGAACATTAGTTTTACCAAAATGACAAGACACCCCAAACGCAGTTAACACAAACCAGTCTTCCCGTCCACACTCATATCTACATATACAAACACGTACATACATAAAACATCAACCAGGAAATGCAAAAAAGCCATGATGCAAGTGCAGGGAGTTGATTAGAAAAAGCTAACCCTCTGAGTATTTGTATTCATATGCAACATCAAGGAAGGCTGTATTCAAGCAGGACTGAGCGAGTCGAGTAAAAATAGTAAATTACCATATGAAGTTGTTTTCAAAGGCTAGAACTTAGTGAGATCTGTGAGCTTGTCCGGGGGAAATCTCATGAACGTGCAGCCATGTCAGCCTTCAGACTTACATCATTCAGTCGTTGCAGACTCATTTCACACTGCAACACTGATGAATTCTGCTTAAGAGCTTGTTGCTCTGCATGGTAAATGCTTAGTCTGCATTGCATTGTGGGAAAGGCCTGGAGGACTGAATAACATCAGCTCAGAAGACTTTACGCATGGCCCATGGAAAGATTATTTTATCCCATGGTTTATCCAATCTTTACTTATTTGAGCTTTTTCTTATTTTATGATAACCTTGTTTCATGATGTCGCCAAAGAGCTAACAAATAAGAGACATACACATTCTGCCTACAGGTGTTTGACAGTATAGTCGAGGTAAGCTGAAAACAATAAAGAGAAATAGACTTAGAATCCACCAGGAGAAAAGGAAGTCACACCTTCGATGTGAGGCGAAATTGCTCGTCAAGTGACCACTTCCATCACACCCCGGTGTGGGACATCTGCCACCGGAAAAATAGACAGATTTATAAGGCCAAAGTGAAGGAGAAGAAAATGTGAAACTTACAGAAAAATGGGTTGTTTCAGTTTTTTTCATTGTTGGTTTTCATTGTTTCCAGTTTAGCTTCACTATCTGTGATTAATATAGTGGTTCCTGACATGAGCTACAGTTGATATGGCATGATACTGATGACTAGTGTTGTCCTGTAAAAATAAAGCATCATAACAGCTAAACTACAGTGAAGGCATCAGTAGAGGCTACTAAGATCAGTGTGGGTAAATGGATAAAGCTGTTAACTAAAAGTCATATAGCAAGCCACTGCCAGCAGCACAGGATGGGGGAGGGAGAGAAAGAAGAGCTGGCTCTGTGAGTTTGACTGGAGCAAAAAGGAGAATGAAAACAAAGAAAGAAATAAGATGAGGAGAAAAATCAGCACGAGTGGGGAGAAGCAGGTGGGATTAGGTGGGCAGGAGAAACACTGGGACGTCAGGAGGAAGAGGAGGGCTCTTACGTTATCAGGTCCTTCTTACTCTCCTTGCACTGGACGTACTTGGGCTTGGTGGTGGGCATGTTAACATCTGTGGTGTAGGAGCGGTCCTCCAGCAGGTCATGGAAAGGATCCAGCTCATCCGGCTGAGGTCGGGTGGGGACAGAGGGAAGAAAGGAAAGAGACAAGGACGGAAAAGGGAAGAGAGAGAAAAAGTGGGATTTATTTTGTTTGTCACTCCATTGTTATATGTTTGTAAGACATCATAATTAAATTATATGTGTGCATGTTAAAAACACGTACATTCAACAATCTGGAAGTCAGAATGATTGCGCTTTATTAAATGATACATTATGAACTTTTCCTATGCTTTGCTTACCTCTTCATTTGTTTTTACACACACACACACACACAGAGCAAATGCACACCTGTCAGACCGCTGAGTCTTACCAGTTTTAAATCTCATAAATGAGTCTGTGTTACTACTGAGCTACACCTGTGAGTCAAACAGAGCTAGAAAATAGAATTCTTAGGAGAAAATAATGACCCAGTGTCAAACAAACATTGTGTGTGTCTGTGCAGGCTCTCTCTGGTATGTTCATAGAGCATTCCTCTGTGTGTGTTTGAGTACAGAACTATTTGGGAGTTGGGCGTATTCTTGTAATGCACCAGCCAGTCACTAGGTGGCACTGTGGTGCAGTGTCAGACCGCTGCTGGCTGTGTTCTTGTGAGGCTGTGTTTTGTCTGCAGTGCATGTAGCTAGGGCACGATGGCTACTGATGAAAATCCTCTTTTCTTTCCTCCATGCGTGCAGTGTATGTACAGTAATGCTCATAAAGAGACAGGTCCAGATACAGCCCAAATTATCCAGCGCTCAAGCTGCCTCGCGGTGCCTGATGCTGGGTCAGCCAGTGAACTTCTCCAATTAAAGGGAGCACAGGCTGAGAGGCAGACAGGAAGGAGAATGACACATGCATACAGAGAGATGCAGAGCAAAAAGTAGGCTAAGGATGAAACTCACATATACATGTAGGCACTCTCCCAAAGAGATATGGGTACAGATACACACACACTCATGAATATTCACATCTCACACACCAGCAAAGGCACATGTACTGTACATGCATGCGCCTCTACATGCCGACAGGCGCACCCAGCAGTCCTGCATTGATTTCCAGCAGTTCTTTGATGAGATGAGCCATTCCGATTCCCTCCCAAGATGCTACTTTGCATAATTCATTTTGGAGAAGTGCAAAATGTAAAAACAGAAAGCAAGCATGCAGGGAGCTTGATACAAATAGAGGAGATACCTCTGTGCATGGCAACACTGACATCAATTAGCATGCAGATTCATTAGATTTTCCTCACAAATCCCTAATATGACTTTCTAATGATTCCAAATATAACAGTGAGTCAGATAGGGAGGTAAAAACCTAGAAGACAATCAGATGGCAATGCAAATGTTTGTCTTGGAGATACTGTGTTGAATCAATGGCTTGCGGGGGGATAATCTGGGCCGAGACATGGAACAGACAGTGTAAGAGGGACATGGCAACTATACGCTCTCTCAGCTTCAAAAACCACAATCCATCACATTCTACTGCTTTATTATTATCATCAACATCCCGACTCTCAGTGATTTGATTCTAATCTCTATTTTATTTTATCATCATTGTAATCATCAGGAACATTTTAAAGCAAGTTCAATATTTGATGACACATTTTGAGCGAAACAGAAGAGTTTAACTGATCAACAGTTGTATGAATAAGAATGATGATAAAATGTATATATAAAGATACTGAGTTCAGCCAGTGATTGGCCCTTCTCCCTGAAAAATACATACTGTATATACCATCATTTCTAATTCATCTGGCCACAGCAGAGACATTTTTCACATCATCCTTGTTGTGCTCCCCTTTACCTCTTTCTCGTCCTCGTCTATGTGTTTGATCTTGGTGTAGTCTACTGGCAGGTCCCAGCAGTCGGCGGCGTCCCCAATGCCGTAGCAGCGGGGGCCCAGCAGAGCGGCTTTCCCCCGCGGGGGGTCTTCCACCGCCACCGCCGCCACACAGACGCTTGCTCTTACTCAGGTCCAATGTACCATTCTCATCAACATCTAGACCGGGACTCTGGAAGGTGTATGTAGTTTTTGTACATACGTATGTGTATGTGGAGGAGATGGATGTGTGTGTGTTGGGTTTTTCAGGTGATTATGAGAAAGGTCAAAAGGATGCACAAACATATGGCGGCAGGGATGGAGAAAATGGATAAAAGAGAGAGAGTTTCTGATTAAATAGCAGTCAAAAATTCATAGTCTGGCATCAGAGCTGGGCAAAACGGTAGCTGAATACATGGTGAATACTAAAAAAGTACATAAATCGTGCACGAATATTCTGTTCCTCCAGTGATGTGCTCACTTTTGAACTTTTTGGATGTCTGGAAAGATGGATCGAGAACACCTGCAGTTCAAATATATGAAACAATATTCCAATTTCTTTTTTTGCCCAAGTCATGTTTTTTGCATGAAACATTAGACACTTGCAGTGTACAGTAACAATGTAGTGTTACGCTCAGAAGAGGGTCAAAAGAAGAAGAGGTCATCAGAGCTCTAGGACAAGTGCATCCCTCTGTGAACTCCTCCTTTCCTCTTTCTTTCTCTCTGTCTCTCTCCTTCCATCCCACTATGGTCTGTACCGTGCAGTCAGAAGTGTGGATGTATGTGCATGACTTTGTGTTGTTGTGTGTGAGGCTAACGTGAGCGGACATCATGGGGGCAGGGACTGGAGGTTAGGGGTGGGGTTGAGAGCAGTGATGAGCAGCAGTGGCTGGAACTCAACTGCTGCAAACCCAAAAATAGAGGCACAACTCTACAGTGTTCTGGAACAAAGTGGGCCACATCGAACAAGACTGTCTGCTCGCTAAGACATTCACTCTTCCTCCCGAGCATAGGTTTGTATCTAGATTGTTATGCACATGATCATTAGCTTTAATTGAGGTCTGGCAACATACTGTATATAGCAAAAGAGTCTGTAACCTTTAAAGATTACTATATGTTTTGGTAGGTATGTACATGCGTTTATGCCCTTGTTCTCATTAATATCCCTTTCTTTTCTGTACCTCTCCTACCCTCCTCATCCTCCTTGCCCCTTGGCTCCCTTTCATGAGTAGGAATGCCTGCTCTAATGCTTATTCCTGCCGACAGTCTCCCTAGGGGTGGATTCTCCTGGTGTCTGAAGCCAAAACCTCTATGACGCACACTGACTCAAACGCACGGGCTGATAGATTTGGAACTGGGAATGAATACAAGCAAAAACTGTGTCTGAACCAATGTCTCAAAAATAGTATTTTAAAGAGAGAGAGAGAGAGAGAGAGAGAGCAGAAAAGTATTACTGCTAGGTCATTGCTCTCTGTGAAAACAAAAACAACAACTCACTAAGAATAATAAATGGTACTATAAAATTTGGGGAAAAACACAAGAGACAAACATGAGGATGATGATGGGGTGTTAAACACAAAGACTGTTCATTATAAGGCTGAACACAAACCGAGCATTTACAATAGTACCTGTCTACAAATCAGGCATTATTCCATGATGTAGGTGTCTCCTATCACGCTCACTTTTAAAACTCCACTTGTAGGCTGGCTAAGGGCTTGAAAATGAAAGAGAAAGGGGCAGAAGATGAGTGGAAAAGGAGTAAAGGAGTGAGAGCCATAGAAACCGTCTCTGTAAAGGTCAAGTTGCTGAGGAATACTGTAGATCCAGTTGCATACGTCTCACTGTGTTGCCATGACTCTTGTCTTGTCCTTGTGAATATGCTCAGCACGCCACCCTCTCCTCCTCAGCCATTGTATGTCACTGTCCAATTAACATGACCCACCCCTTCATATCGAATTAACAGGGATGATATGTGAGGATGTACCCCAGCTCCTTCATTAGAGACCACACCTTCTTGCTCTGAACCCCGTGGTAACCTCTGACCTCTGTTGCCATGGCAATGCTGGGAGGAGGAGGGCCAGACTGTTAGAAGTCACTTGGTAATTCTCTTCACATTACTTCGGCCTGCCTATTTCAGGTCCTAAACTAAAACTAGTATCATGTCCTGTGTCCCTCTCTGGCCATTTTGCACCACGTTTCTCTTCCTTTCTCTTGTCCTTCTGTTGGCGCCTTTTGTAACTGTGCATAACTGTGCCCTCCATTTCCCTTCTTCTTCATGTATTTTCCCCCCAGTTTAACAGATATTCATAGATGCCTGTTTGAAGTTTTGCAGTGGAGTTAGATAGAATCCATGAAATCTATTCTGCTTTTTCTAAAGCTGGTATTACTGTCAAAATCTTTTCTTAATATTTTTAAAATAAATACAAAGTCCTAAGTTGATCCTTTAAATGACATTACATTATAACAACTTGAACAGGAGGTGGATTAGATATTTGAAATTTATGATGACTTAATGCCACCACCGTAACAATCAATCAATAACTAATCGTCCAAATTTCTCATTATATTGAGAACATTTTCCTTCCTGTTGTTTTTACTAGATAAAATATTTTCTCGTCATAACAACGTATATTTTTTCTTGTTATATCACAAAAATGTCTCATTATTTCACAACATCAACATATCCCATCAAAACAAACTCTTCTCATAATAACGCAAAATCTTTGTCTGCATTGTGTATATGTTATTAAGGAAGAAATATATTTATATTCATGTTAAGTATGCTACTTGTGATTTGTAGTAAATTAGTATTTTATGTCAATGCAGGTGTTGTCTGTTAAAGGTGGGTTTGTGTGGAGCTGCAGCTTGACTCCATGAAGCATTGGTTCCTAACCTGAGGGTCAGCACCTCTCTAAGAGGTCACAGGGTGATTTAGAGGGGTGACGATTACTAACAGTAATGAAGAAAAATATTGCTTTGCTACTCAGACTTTCTTTTGGTAAATAGGGATTTCCCAGAAGCTGAATTTGTCTTTAGCCGTTTACATCAGCTTCCCTTCGTCTAACAACCAAAGCAGCCTAATTTAGCCTGGCTTTAAGACATTAAATACAGACAGTTCAATGCAGTCTTTCAGTCAACCCAGCTACCAATATATTCAATGAGCAGACTGAAAGAAACTGGCAGACAGACCGAGAGAAAAGGCAAAGAGGTGAGAATAGATGCGTGTGAAGTTTCATTCAGACACAGAAAGGAACAGTGTGTGCCATGAGGTGAGGTGCTGAGATAAAAGAGGAACTAGAAACCCACAGAAATCTCCCATCTTCCCATCCTGCCCTGAGAGCATGTTGTCCGTCTGGCCTCAGAGCAGGAGAAGGACAGACAGCAAGTCTTCACTTCTTCAGGAATTTGCTGCGCCCCCAAGTTTACTCCGTTCCACTTTGCTTTGAAAGTAGGTTGCTTTTCTATTACTTGTCCCTCCGTACCTTTCTCCTCTCCTGTATCCTCTTCTATGCTGTGACATTTAGAAACCTCCCCAAAAAAAGGATTCTTTCTGCTCTCTTTCTTTATTTTCAGTTCTCTCACCCTGGTTCTCATTCTCTGGCAGGCTCTGCTGTCAACATTAGCATTAAGCCAGCATTAGCCCTCCACTGTGCGCTCTCTTTCTGGCCCTATTTTCCAGCTCAGCATCTGGGTGTAGATAATACAGGAACACCGTCACCTTATCTCCTCAGAAATGACACACTGGGCTCACGCCGTGTCAAACAGCGCCTTGTCCTGCTCCTATCTGATCCCCAGACAGAAAATAAAAAACTGCCCTGCTGAGCACTGAGTGTAAGACACAGCCTCGGATCTTTAATGGAATGTGTGTGTGTGTGTGTGTGTGTGTGTGTATACAGTGTGCACAGCTGAAATCTCCCTATCTTTGTCAGCTTTCACTGCTAGCATTAGTATAATGAAGGAAGCACTGAGATAATCTGTCAGTGTTTTCTGTAGCTACAGCAGGAGACAAAAGTCTTAAGAAGGTGGAGTGGATAGTGAGTCAGGCTGAGGCTACAGTGTCACCCTCCCATTTAGAAAACTCAATTGAATAAAACCGAAGTGTAGAATTTGTTTATACCTGTTAATGTCATGTTTTAAATGAGGCCAGTTAAATGACAAACTAAATGTACTACATGTCATGCCTGTCACTGCAGTGTCCTACCTGTGAGCACAGGTCCTGGCGTTTCCCGCCCATGCTGTGGGGCATCTCCCTGCAGCGCGTGGACAGGTTGAGGATGGCCGTGGCTGCCATGTGGGCGGCCTCCATGTCGTGACTGTAGTCAAAGCTGCTCTTGCTGCAGGTGCTGCTGGCGCTGCTGCCCCCGCCCCCGCCTCCTCCTCCTGTGTCCCCTCCTCCACCACCACAGCTCAGGCTGCTGCTGCTACTGCTGGGGGCGTAGGTGCTGGTGGTGCTGCTGGCTGAGCTGGAGTTCTTGCAGTAACGTTTGGCTGTGAGACAAATTAAGAAATTCAGAAACAAAAGAGAAGTTAATGCATACTTACAATGATGCTTTAAATGAATGTACCTGTCAAATAGTTTTTGTTAAAGGTGAGTAAATACAGTTTAGGTGCATTTACTCATCAGTATATCCCTGATGAAGTGTGTTTTTATAGATGTTTAAAATCAGATCCTTCAATTTCAGTTTCCTTCATTTACTTTACAGATTTCATAATTTAAAAAGCTTCCCTGTCTAACCTTTTCAGTTGTGGGGAAACTATAATAATATCATTTAATAATATTTTTCAAAATCTTTGACAGCCAAATACTAAAATCAACATGGGAGAAATGAAACAAGATGTCATGGGCATGTCATGGCAGTAGAAACAAAACATTCATCTTGCTGTAAAATAGTACCGTCATATCCTTTCGGGGAGGTGTCCCTTTGTCCATGGACTTTGGGTGCGATGGCCCGTTTCCCGTACACTTGGTGGTTGTTGCTGCCATCAAAGGCGCTGTAGTCGAAGCTGGTCTTGGAGTACTTCTCCAGCTCCTTGGCCAGGTTGGAGCGCGGCGTGCTGGTGGAAACATTGTTCTTGTAACCATACTGTGGATAGTCCAGTTGTTTGACAAAGCACATAGGCCTGGAAAATAAATGATGAGGGGGTGGAAGTTGGACCGAGGCACTCAACATTGCCCAGGGGAAGGAGAGGGATCTTGGGGTTTGGTTAAGAAACGAGCAGATGCAAAAGGGATGGGGCAGACTGTTATGTCTGACCTGTAGGGTTAGAATACGGAGGATGGTGCTGATGCAAGGTGGGGTGACTCAGGGTGCAAGGCATAACTTGTATATGCCATAGTATGGATGTTTTCCTTTTCTTTCTTTAAAAATCATAACCCAGTTTTTCATGTGTAGGCAATAAAGGACAGGCAATTGAATCTCCACATTTCTTTTATTACTCTTGCATACTTTTGATATGCTTTTATCATTTCATGTGCATTTATAGCCTTAATCTAAGACCAGGAAGAAATGAAATGTAAGATCTTATGCTAGTGATGTTCAATGAGATATAAATATAAAATTTACAATTACTTATGACTTTTCATCATAGCATTTTCATGACTATCAAAGAAACTCGTTCAAAAAGCTCTGGCTTCACGATGATAAATGAGGCCAATTTTGTGAAAATCTAATAAAGTGATTTGCCTTCAATAGTGAGCAGAGAAATAAAGATGCAGTTTCTTGAAAGTATTCTCAGGAGAACAGGAGAACATAAACATAAAACAAAGAGGGGAGACTTAAAATCTCACTAGCTTTCCAGAGTGCAGGTAGAAAAAGAACAAAGCCTTCCAACATGACTGAACAACAATGAAGCGTGATTAAGTCAGTACACCTCGGCACAAAATCCACATTTGTTTGCCTTTTCACGTGAATGACCACTGTATTTTACTTTTTATTTTATTTATTTTATTTATTTTACATTAGAGACATTCTCAGTTGCTATTATGTGATGTGGATTAAAGTGAACAGTACCTTAAGACTCGGTCAGAGGCCTGATTGGACTTGGGGCCGTCACAGCTCTGATGCTTCTCCTGGGCTTTGGCCAACTTCTCGGCTGCAGCGATGGGACATCCTGACAAACTGAAATGAAAAAACAGCCTAAGCGGCGCTGTGGAGCGTACACCTGAGACAAACTGTGAGAGGTGAAAATGCTACATTGAATGCACATGCTGCAAAATGCTTGGCTTGTTAGAGGGCCTGTCAGGCAGTCTGCCGGGCTGAAAGCAGCTAGCACACATCTGCCCGTCACCCAATATTAACCAATACTAGTTTGAAAATACCTGACTGTAGTTCAGAAAGTCTCTGCCTTTATGCTAATTAATTCATTTCCATCATTTTCATCACTTTTAACACATTAAATACAGACACAACCAGCAACAGCTTGGATGTTTCTGGTTGAGTGGCTTGAAATAAATCTCAGAATAGATATTTCCCATGTGGACAAATGTGCATTTTTGTGTGCGTTCTGAAGCATCTTGTTTATGCCAGACACATGGCAACAGGACACACACACATATGCTCGGGGTCTACACCTACACTATGTTCCAATAGAATTAAGGGCTGTAGAACTTCCTCCTGACAACTAACTGACCAAATGTGACAAAAGTTCATGTTGTTATCCTTAACTCCTATTATTCTACATCCGACCTGTCAACTGCAGTGTGTTGAGTCACTGTGAAAAAATTATCTCTGACAATGGCCTGAAGCCAGTATAGAGCTGTATTCACGAGCACCTGTCATCAGACGTGCAGGAATGTGTGCAGAGATAAGAGTGCGTATCAGGTTTGGGGGTGTAAGGGAGCATGTTGAAGTTTATTTCCGCTCTTTCTAGTAAAAGTGAAAATTTACTGTGCGGGTCTATTTTGCACTGCAGCCATGTGACTGAGCGCAGCATGGAGGCATTCTGGTCCTCCCAGGTCTGCACCTCTCCTGTCACCCTGACTGAGTGGCAGAAAGGTGCTAATGGCTGCTCCTATGCCCGACTCCCTTAGCATCTGCTGGGGGTGACACTCCTATTTCACTGTCACCTCACCCCATCTGACAGCACTGGCAAGAGTGCCCTGCCATTTCACTTTCTCCCTCCAAACCTGCACCTGAGAGATGCCATTTTTCACCATGAGCTGATAAATGATTTATGCAGTAGAAGGTGTGAATTGATGCATTCTAATCAGTCTCAGTGAAACTATAGGATTGTTAGCAGCTGAGCCACTTTACTCATTTCTCTCAACCCAACAATACAAGAAAGACTACTTAGCCACATACAAAAATGATCTATTTAACAGAAAATAAACAGAGATGAATGGCAAAAAATGAGGATGAAAAAAATCAAGAACAATACCTCAAAAATACAAACCAAAAAAAGTCCCATAGTGAAAAAACAAAACAAAGAGGGTGCAACATGGACAGTGCCAGTTTCATAAAGGCAGACTGTCACTTACCTTCTGTGGGAGTTTCTGTTGCTATTGACATGGCCGCGTCCTGTGCAGCCAGGCGTAGGACACTTAAGAACATTCTCATACATAGCCACAACTTCATACAGACAAGAGATAGGAGTGAAAGACAGGGAAGGTTAGGAGCCCCTTATAGTCACGCATGAGCTCTATTAGTGTCTGAGGAGCTTGGCATTATAAACATCATTAAGAAATGAGCCTGTGTGAACCCAAATGACCTCTTCTTCATTTTAATGAACACTAGTTTGAAAGGGCAAGCAAGGTTTCCCACCATATTGCTTCCACTTATCCAGCCCCTTCAAATTAGTATTCATGGAATAGGGACAGTCATGAATAAAAAGATGTCATTTAACTTTAACAGGACAAAGCCAGCAAGAGACAGAGATGGAAGGAAATTTTAGGCATGCAGAGAGCAGAGCAACCGACAGCTAGCAATCATGCAAAACACAAGACTTAAAATCAATGGCAGAAGTAGACAGATGGAATACAGCTCCTTGATAGAGTGTGCTTTGTTATCATCTGCACGTTGTTAGGATAGAGAGTGCAGTCTTCAATACCATTTAGCATTAAAACAGTCCATAACTGTCTCAGATCCCCTCGGCAACCAGCCAATTAGATTAATGATCTATGGATGTCCGAGAGGAGCCGTTGGAGCACTGCAGGCAGGGGCGCGGGGAAGGGTCGTCTCAACACCAGCGGCATGCAGGGCCAAACCCCATCGGCATCAGTTCCATCATTATCACCCCCTTAAACTTTAGCCCCTCATCATCCTCCTTCTCTTCCATACTAATTGGTGTTCGGTGCAGGTAAATGGACAAAGCTTGCCACCTCAACATGCCACAAGCGAATACATTATGCATAACCCAGTTCTGCCCTCCCTTCTGCAAATAGATAGAGAGAAAGGCAAGAAATGAAAGTACTGGGCCTGATTCAGTGGGCACAGATGGAACTACAGGGGTTAACTATAGCAGAATAACCCAAGGAAGCAAATGGAAAGTAATGTGGTTGCAAATGCCTACTGTGTTACAGAAGTAAATCACTTTAAAAGACTCCCTGATTAAATATTGCAATATTTGACACAAAAGAGCTACAATGAGCAAACAGGAATAGGAATGAATGAATGTGAGATGTAGTTTAATCATACTTTTTCACTTTTCCCAAGGAAGAGTCTGGCTGCACTGTGCACTGTGTGTGAGTCCCCAATTAAATGAAGTGACTGCATTAATAATACATTGTCCATTCAGACAGCAAATGTATGAATAGGGGGAAGAGACTTGCCCATAGCTGAGTCTGCTCTGCAGGCTGCCCCAAGTGTGAAATGTACTCATCTGTACCATTAAAGTGGTGAAACAAGGAGTCTGTCTGCATGAGACTACTGACCACTTATTGACAGAAACGTGGTAACTGGCTGCTCCATGGCTGATACTTGCTGTTAACGCCTACCTACAGCAGGTCACCTATTTAAACAACAAGGATGTGTGTGTGTGTGTGTGTGTGTGTGTCATTCTCAAATATCCTTTTGCGGTCAGGGAAGAAGGACTGAAGATGATGCCACCAAGATCAAGAATATTGTGATCCAAAGCATCCTGTGTCATATTAGTGGTATCATTCCCCCCAAATGTCAGCCTGATCAACACAAGTGAGGGACAGGAGGAGGAACACACACATATCCTACATTCTCCAGTGACAATCAATTCAAGTCTATTCCAAATTCCATTTTGGGGCTCTTGATCCCTGTCGAGGTCAGCTGCTCCGAGTCACTGCACATGTTTGAGAGACGAGTACATCTCAGGTTAGGGACCTTTGTGTGACCGGCGTTCCACAGAACAAGAGTCATCTGTGGCACTGCTGGTCTTTACAAGCCTGGCTTAATGGTCACAAATTTCTTTGCCATTATTAAATCCCTCTTTTAGTTTGATTGCAGTCTAGGTCATGGCAGATCATAACTTGATTTTCACGCTGTGGTTAATGAGACGTGTAAATGGACTTTTATTGAGAAGTTTGCACAAGGTGAATGAGACTAAATAGCCAGGGTAAATTCTCTAAAGGAAAAACTCACTATTCATTCAAGTCTAATATTTATTGTCACTTCACTTGATCTGTGGCTTAGAGATGTGATACTGCCTTTCTATTCAACAGAACTTAATTGAGCAAGGAATATAAATAAATGAATGGGTTTATGGCATGGATGACTGAAGCTGGATGAGTGTTACCAAGGTCTGCAATTTCAAGTTTTGTGAAAAAATGAAATGGTAAGACTCAATTCACATTAAACAAGTATGACATTTAACCTATTCTTATCAGTCATACATGCACTGACCAACCATGCTGTGAAGAAGCATGCAACCCATATTCACTATCCCCTCTCATATTCTCACTGTCAGTCAACCTAGCAGAGGAGAAAGTCTCATGCAGTCAGGTAAATCACCTATTGATAGCTTGGCGCATTCCACCAATTGCTGCATCACCACTATTTACACACCAGGGCCTCATTTCCCACCATCACCACAGCACAACAGGCAAGCAAATTCATAGCCCCATGCAAAAGGTCACAAGAGAAGTGCAGCTGTAACCCATTTGACCCCTGACTGTAAAAAAAAAAAAATATCAAAACCAGTCCAGCCACGACAGCAAGTACACAGCACACGGAACGAGCCAGACACAGCAGTGATCACAGGAAGCATGCCAATTTCTGCACATCAAAGAACATCAAGGCCGCAGGTTGGGTAAATAAACCTGTGCTTGGCTGGTGTGTGACTGATATGCTTACTTTCTGGCGGCACCCTGTCTTTGTGCGGACAGCCGGACAGACTCCGATGATGTGGGTACAAGCCCGTCACATGACCCGTGCCGTCACAGCCCGGTGTTGGACACCGGCTTTCCTTCTTGTCTGCACGTGAAACATCTGTGAGCAGAAAGGCATATGGAGGTGACCGCACATCCCCCTCCTTCATTTACTCAGTAATATCTCTCTCAACAGTGTCCTCTGACTGTCCAGCAGCTAAATCCAGATGTGAGTAAAAGATGATATTCACATCTGGTTAGTTCTCAATTATTGGACATGTCCTGTGAGCTCGTGGCAATGGGTTAGTTACAAAGCGACTAGTGCCTAATTCTCTGATTGATGGAGGTTTACCTGTGGACACCTCTTCCTCTGAATCTGTTTTAAATATACAGTCAGCGCTGTCCCAAACCAATGCCACAGTAGCACAGAAATATTTTTTTTATATTAAATATGCTCTTTTTACTGATGACATGGGAGAGTGATGTTTTTTCTAGACTGATAAAAATAAGCAAAATACAGGAAATAATATTTTATTTTAGTTTTTTGTTTCCACAGAGGAACCTCTGACTTCATGTGTTCCCCACACATTTCAAACCAAAGCCACACCCTTTGCAAACACATTTGAATTTTAAGTGGATTTCTTTTTTTATTTATAGGCCATTACTTATTCCTGTATTTATCTGATGAAACGGAGTGAAGACTGACAAGGACAAAGATGCAGTAATTGGCTTGCTGACAGATCTTTTGATCATGAAGTTTGTTTACTCTAATAAAATAGTGAAGATTTTAGAAATACAACTCTCATGTTAGTGACCTTCAACCAAAAGTGTTTCATCCTCCTGTTTAGATTAAATTAAGAATTTATCATATTTCTCTTTATTATAACCACTCCTAGCTCCACATGACAGTGTGTGGAGCTGAGTGTGACAATCACACACACACACACACACACACACACACACACACACACACACACACCAAAGGAGATTGTCTTTCCCTTCCCTAAACCTGGTTCTCCTATTTCTTTTCAAAGCCAGATATTTGGTTACCCCCCAAAAGTAGAGATGGCAAGTCATGCCAACTGGCACTGTTTCTGCAACTGCAACCGCTCACCTTTAAAACACTGAGTCTCAAACAAGGTAAATGGTTCTTTTTACTATCAACCTGCAGTGGTTATTTGGGACACAGTTTTTGTTACGGTTTTAAAAGAAAATTAGGAAGATTTACGAAGCAAAAGAAATCTATAATATCTTTTCATAGCTGAGTTACAAGAAGTGAGAGATGTATCAGATTGTATAATCAATTTTGGAGACATTTGAGTGACACAAATGTTTTTTCGGGAGCTCATATTAAGGAAATAGACAGGGGAGGGGCTATTTTCTCATGCTTCAGAAAAACAGACCAATTAAAATTTTAAAGGCCTGTGTACCTTGGTAGTTGAATTTCTTAGTGACAAACCGAAATCAACCAACAGGTTGTGAAGTAAGACTAAAGTGAAGAAGATCAAGTGAAGCAGGAAAGGATGGTTGAGAACGGACCAAAGTGAGAGCTGGCACCATGCACACCTACTTACACATTTACACGTAAATCACCAAATGAAATTCCTTGTCTCATTCATCAGGAAAAAGCACCTCATTATCCTCTGTGGCTGTCATTTATCTATGTCACATTCGGGGCATATGAGTTTGGTACAATGTTGCTACGTCATGTCTAATTCCTCTCTTTGGCACCAGAGCAATAAAGGCAGGGAAATTTCATGTTGATAAAAAACTTAATTTGCATGTAAAATATGGCTTCTTTTGCGGCACATTATTATATTGACTTTTGGTGTTTGAACATGCACGCATGGACGCACACGTACACATACATGATGCCCGTGCGCTCTTCCTGCCACGTTTCCATTGCAGAGAGTGGAGGCAGCCAAGTGGAAGGCATATTAGAAAGCATGGGATATTGATTGTGGCTGAGGACGGTCTGCGCTTTGCATAGCAAATGGCCCCCATTACCATACCATCTCTGGATAATTAATGTGCAGTCAGTGGGTCTGTCGTTCCTTATCGGTCATTCTGATACTGTTCAATTTTCATCTCATGCTCATGTTTCTTTTAGGGAGCTGGGCTCTTCTCTGAACCCTCCCTTTTCCCCCAATCTCTTGCCATGCTCTGTTTTATAAATCACACCCAAGAAGCCTGGTCAACGAGTGTCTGCTACTATCTTGCCTGAGGAAAGATGTTATCGTGACGCAGCTGTCTCCCGTCCTCTCATTATTCCAACATTAGTCAGACACTGGGGCCATGGAAGGCTTATGAAATTAACATTTGTGTGGCATTCAAGTTGCAATATATAAAGTACCTGCTGTGAATTGTGTGGCATTTAAGGTGTGATACCACCCTGCTTTGAATCAGCTTGCTCTTATTTGTTGGTCTCATCTGATACCTCCCTTATAGGAGGAAATCATTTAACCCAAAATTAAGAGTTAAACAAAGGAGTTACAATCAGACCACTGTAAATGCCAATGCAACACTTCTGTGTCTGCAGCTCTACTTGGTACGTACACAAGGAGGCATCCACATTCAGTACACAAACAATGCCATTGACAGGATACTGCAGTCTTTATAATATGAGTTGTTATATACCTCATTTATGTATTGAATCACTGAATGTTAGGTCATAGCATCATAAACAAACGTACAGAGATTCTTTGTTCCTAACAGATTGATTCTTTTCTACAGGCAGAAGGTCTCTGTTTTGTAGCTTCCTCTCCCGAGTGCTCACACAGGTTTAAAAATAGGCAGCTTTACCCCAAGCTGCATCGCAGGGATGCGATTTGAGGTCCTAACAGGCCGTGCAGATTGCCGTCGCTTATGCCTGACAAGCCTACCCTCTGATGTTTCCATGCTGGCCTATTTTAACAACATAAGCTGCTGCTGCCGCTCCCACTGCTACTGAGATGCGAATTTCCAAATTGGCTGAAAAAGCTTGTCCTGGGGTTATAGCAAGGTTCCCAGAATGCATGTGGGCTGTCTAGTCTCCAGTATAGGACAGATAGAATACAGAGCCAAATGCTGGCAGACAAACATTTTACCCCAGCTTGTTAAATGATGTAAACATGCCTATGCTTGTGCAGATAAGGCTTCCACTGGAGGCTCAGTGTGCATTTGATCGTGTCTGTGTATGAAAGAACAACTCACCTTTATGGTAAAAAGGCTTCTTCATACCATCAGGAAGTCGGGCTTTACGCTCAACACCATAGCTATGCCGTGGGCCATGGTCTTCATGGTTATACCTCACTCCATCTCTCCTGGCAGCCTCAGCCGCTATTTTATCTCGCATTGCCTTGGCGCGTTCTGACTCTAGTGCAATGGCCTTCTCCAAAAGTGACAGGTTACCCTTTGTCATGTCAAACACTTCTTCCGATGGGTCTGATGTCACTGACGCGGTGTCCTCATCAAAGTCCAGGTGGTTGCTATGATATCTGTCATCCTGTGCACAACTGGAGAAAGTTTTGGAGCGTGGGCTCAGCTGCTCCTCGAGCTTCATCAGATTGTCCATGTCGGAATAGTTCCTATCAAGTGTCCGTGTGTTGTCCTGGCTGTGGTGGAAATCCCCATACCCATGGTGCTGGGTCTGTTGATTGGGATCCCCGCATAAGAAATGATTTTGCTGGGATGGTCCATTTCGGTCAGCAGACTTTGTTTCACTTAGTTTCCGAGCCAGGTCAAAGCACTGGTTTCGTAGGCACTCCAGACTGCTTAAACACACTTCCTCATCGCTGTTTTCTATTTGTCCATTAATGTTGGTTTTAAGTTGTCCGTTACCACCGCTGTGTGCATTTCCCCCATTGTGGGCACAGTCAGCCTCCTCCCTGTTCTCGGCTGTACCATCCTCAAACTCCTGTCCATCTAAATTGTCCGACAGCACTGCACCATGACCTTGGGCCAGCAGTTTGAGGGAGTCCACTGTCTCCCGAACCACATCACTGTCCACATCCAAACTTAGATCACCCCTTTGTGTTTCATCCCCTTCCAACTCTTCTTCCTCCTCTTCCTCCTCCTCTTCTTCCTCTTCCTCCTCTTCTTCATCCCCCTCCTCTTCTTCCTCCTCCTCTTCCTCTTCCTCCTCCTCCTCTTCTTCCTCGGCACTGTGAGACAAGTTGCTGTTCATCTCAGATTCCGTCATGGCTCTGTTGGCAGCATCTTCTGCAATCTTGCCGAGGTTGAGGAGGGACTTGGCTACAAGTTCATCATAGTTTTCATACTCATCGTTGTTGTTGTCATCCTTCTCCATCATCAGGCCAGGTTTGGCGTTGTTACAACCACCTCCACCATCGCCCTCGCCCCCCTCGCTGCTGCTCATCTGATCGTCCTCTGCTGGAAAGAAAGAACAGCCATCTTGTAATTTCATTTCTGTCATTCTGTTTTACTGATAAATCAGATTTCTTGGCTTGGTCCATTTAAATTGGATAAGGAACTCTTTGCTTCCCCTAATAATTTACTTTGAGAGTCTTAACAGCAGCTTGTGTTCTGAATTGGGAATCAGCACAGGAAGATAAATATAGTGGTTTGGTAAAGTTCCAGAGAAAGATGCTCTAGTAAATGAAAATCCATGCAACCAGGGACTATTTTTGAGTTTGGCAAGTTTTATTTTTGCCCTAATTTCCTGAATTTCTTTAGAAAAAATGTATTTGGGTTCTATAACTAATAATATTCACTAAAGAATTTTGTATAGTTACAAATGAAATAACATTTTATTCAGTGTTCAGCAGTTTCCATCAAATGACAGTGAGAAAATTTTGAAATTAGAGAGAACATTTTTACAGGAGGGTCTAAACACTGACATATACTGTAATATGGTGTTCTATCTGCAACAAGATGAACCCCACTCAGTAGCTATTCAGCGTTTGCTAGTAAAGTTCTTTTTCCATTCAATAATCAGTATCTTTAGAATTCCTTTCACTGTCTAATTGATTCTGACAGGCTGCAAAAGGTTACTGAACCTCTCCTGTCAGTAATTTCAAGCACTCACTCCTGGAGCACTTCCAATCTCTCCTTTCACATTTTCGCCCCGCCGCCAAGAGCACATCGCTCACATTGGCGTCACATTTGCC